CAGTGAGAAACGAGTGAGGAAACGAGTGAGGAAACGAGTGAGAAAACGAGTGAGGAAACGAGTGAGGAAACGAGTGAGAAAACGAGTGAGGAAACGAGTGAGGAAACGAGTGAGGAAACGAGTGAGGAAACGAGTGAGAAAACGAGTGAGGAAACGAGTGAGGAAACGAGTGAGGAAACGAGTGAGGAAACGAGTGAGAGAACCAGTGAGAAACGAGTGAGGAAACGAGTGAGGAAACGAGTGAGAAAACGAGTGAGGAAACGAGTGAGGAAACGAGTGAGAAAACGAGTGAGGAAACGAGTGAGGAAACGAGTGAGGAAACGAGTGAGGAAACGAGTGAGAAAACGAGTGAGGAAACGAGTGAGGAAACGAGTGAGGAAAGTAATCTGAGGGAAAGCAATCTGAGGGAAAGCAATCTGAGGGAAAGCAAACGGAAGGAAAGTGGATCTGACCTGAGCGAACTCGTAGAGGGGCGGTGGGAAGATGGCGAGGAGGCCGGTGGCCACACAGAGGCTCACGAGAGGGTTGTTGCTGGGGAAGGCTGTAGCTGGGTTGATCTGATTGTGGTGGTAATGGTGGTGGTGACAAGGCAAGAAAAAGGCTCAGGGTGAATGGGAGCCATGTGAGAAAGCAAAGCATGGCAGAAGTAAGCCCAATGTAAGGAAGGAGGATTACCCCGTGTGGGTATTACACAGACAGCACAAGGGGCGCGTACCAATACACACAGACAGCAAAAGGGGCGTGTACCCCCCTTCCCCTCCCCGCCCTCTCCTTACCCGCTGCGTTATCCATCTTACCAGCACGAGGCGGTGGAAGAGGGTGGGGTTGGCTGCTGCAATGCGCAGAGCCAGACACGCCCCGAATGATTCCGCCAGCACTGTCACTTCCCGAGTCCCCTCCCCGCCTTCGCTCGCAGCCTGCTGTATCAGTGGGGTGACTCGGCGAACCAGCTCTCGCCACGTGGAGCGGTCAGTGGTGGGGATGTAGAGGGAGCGGATGTCAAAGCTGGAAGGAGGGAACGGGGGAGGGGGAAGGGGGAGGGGGAAGGGGGAGGGGGAAGGGGGAGGGGGAAGGGGGAGGGGGAAGGGGGAGGGGGAAGGGGGAGGGGGAAGGGGGAGGGGAAGGGGGAGGGGAAGGGGGAGGGGGAAGGGGAGGGGGAAGGGGGAGGGGGAAGGGGTAGGGGGAAGGGGTAGGGGGGAGGGGTAGGGGGGTTAAAGGGGAGGGGGAGGGGGAAGGGGTAGGGGGGTTAAAGGGGAGGGGGGACGAGAGGGGAGGTGGGAGGGGGGACGAGAGGGGAGGTGGGAGGGGGGAGGGAGGTGGGTGTCTGAACCATTGCCACGTGGAGCGGTCAGTGGAGGGGGTGTAGAGGGAGCGGATGTCAAAGCTGGAAAGGAGGGGGATGAGAGGGGCGGCAAGGGAGCTTCGAGAGTTTTATTAGAGGCCATGTGGATGGTAGTGGGGATGTAGCGGGCGCGGATGTCAAAGGTGGAGCGGGGGGACGGGTAGAGAGGGAGAGGGAGAGTGGTAGGGAGGGGGGGGGCATAGCGGAAAGTCCTGAGCGGCCAGTGGTGGGGGATGCAGAGGTGTAGAGGGAACGGATGCCAAAGGTGGAGGGGGCCGGGGGAAAGGGAAAGGGAGAGGGAAAGCAGAGGGACAGAGGGGATGAACGAACGAGAGTAGCCGATACATGCTTCCAGTCACCATGAGGCGCAGTTGGTGGTGGGGGAAACAGGGGGAAGGGAAGAAGCTGGAGATGGGGGAACGGTGACGGTGGGGGGGGAAGGCGGGATGGTAGGGTGGGGGGGGAAGGCGGGGTGGTAGGGTGGGGGGGGAAGGCGGAGTGATAGGGTGGGGGGGGAAGGCGGGGTGGTAGGGTGGGGGGAGGTTTGTTGAGAGAGTATGGGAGACGGAGAGAGAGAGGGCGAGTGAACCAGGGAAATGAAGTGGTGAGTGGTAACCTATCATGCATACCCATCATGCATACCCATCATGCATACCCATCATGCATACCCATCATGCATACCCATCATGCATACCCATCATGCATACCCATCATGCATACCCATCATGCATACCCATCATGCATACCCATCATGCATACCCATCATGCATACCCATCATGCATACCCATCATGCATACCTATCATGCATACCCATCATGCATACCCATCATGCATACCCATCATGCATACCCATCATGCATACCCATCATGCATACCCATCAAGCATGCCCATCATGTATACCCATTATGCGTACCCATCATGCATACCCATCATATCCATCATGCGTACCCATCATGCATACCCATCATACCCATCATGCATACTCATCATGGATACCCATCATGCACACACATTATGAATACCCCCCTGATGAGGGCAAACCCAACCATACAAGCCAGCACACACACTTGGCACATTTTGACACACCAACCCCAACATACTGCATCCTCCACACACCCGGCACGTGTGAGCGATCGGATCTGAGGCTGCAGGCACTGCCCAGTGCCGTCCATTCCCGGCAGATACACCAAAAGCGGCCGCCCAGAAGCCGCACCTGTCGGGTACCCGGACTGCTCCTGAGGCCGAAAAAGGCAAATTTCGCCGCCCAGAGCCGTGAAATCCGGAACTGGGCATGCCGGCGACACGTCATCTAGACCCGAATCGGCACCTGTTGACCAATCAGGAGATGACTGTAATGATGATGGTAATGGAGCTGACGATAATGGACTATCCCCGCTTGTGGCATTTTCGTCTTCGTTAAAAGCGTCGAACTTGGCCGCTATGGAACAGGTAAGGCTACGCCCTCTGCTGCTATTTACTGGCCCTCCTGCAGACAAATAACCTCGTCGCTTGATGAAGAGCGAATCGTTTGGTAAGCTTATTAATATCGGAGCAGTGTTGTACCGGAGCACTCTAAAACGCAAACAGCAGCCTACTTCACGGCGCTTCCCTAGTGCTATCGACGCAGTGCCGCCAAAAGCAGACTCGCCAATGGGAAAGTGACAGCTGGCAGAGGAGACCATACGCGTGACACGCGGGACCCCGTGTCCTGTTGAGGAGTCACGGCGAGAATTCACGCCACTAAGCGCGTGACGGGGTTGAGCGGAATGGATTGAGCGGTGAGACGGAGTGACGGGCGGTACGGAATGGCCTGTCCGCATCGCCGCGGAGATCGAATTGTTGGCCATGACACGGATTTTGCAGTGAATTCGTGGCCGCACCCAGACCCTATCTCCAGCGTCGGTCCTATAGAAAAGCGAATGGCGTCGCAATGCGTATTTGAGGGCTCATTGCGCCATGACGACAGTGTAAACACGAGACGAAGTAATGCTGAGCAAGTTCAACTTGCGAGAAGCAACGCTTCAACTTGGAATGGAGGGGGAGGTGAATGTTCTGGCGAAAAGTTAGGCGGTCGCTACAGGGGTTGGTGAGCTGACCCGTGGGACAGGTCGACCTGACGGCCACTGCGCGACCACTGACGGCAGGTGGCACTAGCGAGTCTGGGCGAGATTTGTTAGCCGTTTGATCGTCGCAAAACTAAGTCGTGGGGCATTACAATTGGTTTGCGAGACTGAGACTGACTGGTAGACGCTATTATCGCCGGGTTTGGGAGAGCGGGAAATATTGCCGCCAGCGTCAAACTCCCTGACACCCGGGCAGTATGTGCTTCCACGTGTCAGGTAGGGCTGTATCACATGCTTGACACGCGGTATAACTTGGCCCTAATGCAGTTTCACTTTCGGGGAGGGACCTGGGGCTGGGGGGGCTGAGGGCGTGCCTTTTTTGCATGCACTCGCGGGCATCGGCAGGAAAAACCGACGCTGGCATCCTAGCTGGTTCGGTTTTGGAAAAACGAAACCCAATCGAACTCGCCACCTGTCGTCAAAACAACCAAACTTTCACAATGTCTGTTATGATATAGACAGTATGTGCTACATTGCGTCCGGCTCTCCGATCATTTTCCGATCTCGGCACTGTAGAAAGATGGTAACCTGACAGCTACAGAAGCCTCCAAATAGTCATGTAGCAGATTGGAGGGCAGGATCACTTTCGAAGCAAAACCGGGAATCAATCGCACGTCAAAAACACTAACAAACCTCCTCCACAAAGTCCCAGATAGCCTACCCCAAATGCCACGAAATCATAAGCGCATCGCCAGCTTGCCTTTGCGAAAAATGCTGGGTGGACTCGAGTCGCGGTGTACTGTGTGTTGGAAATTGCGAATCACCTGGGAGGGTTGCTGGGTTTTCACGAAGTGTTCTGCGAAATGCTATGCTATCCAGCTGCAAATCGATACTCGAGATCGGAAGTTGCAAATCTGGGACATGGCTATGTAGCGAAAGTGGTTGATATTGCAGATCGTTTTTACTCAGACAGAATCGATATCCCCCGAAACGGACGCAATGTAGCGCGCCCTAATAATGACGTGAGAATACAAGGTCGCTATTGCAATGAAGGCACGAGGTTATATGGGGGTTGGCGTGCTAGGGCGATAACCTCGGGACATGGGCAGGTTCGGCAATGTGGCGACAGTGCCAGACGCGACTCGGGAAAGGATTGAGCCGACAAATGAGGCCGAACGTAACGAGTCGAGGAGTTCGGGTATACGCGTTAGCGTACGACTCAGTAAGGAATGGAAATTCCTTACACTACCTCCACCTCCTAAACGAGGCTGCGGACATCGGAAACATTCCGACGCTGATAATACGCTGTTATAATCGGGTGTGATTGTATATCAGCGAGGGGCACCCATCTGTCATCCTCAAACGTCCGATCACGCCAGCGGATTGAAAAATCCACCATCTAACGGTTCTGCTGCGTGGTTACGCGATGGCAGAGAATTTTCCGAGGCTCGGTTTTCGATTCCTGTAGGGGCATCAACTGCGGGACGATTCGCTATCTTGCCAAATCCGACGAACTCGGGACATAGGGTCGTAAGAGGCTGACGTGGAAAGCCGGGTGGTGACACTAGTCAGCCGGGAGTTGGAGGTGTGCTGTGACAGGTGTCACCATGCTGGTCACTTGAAAAGGTCCACAGTAGCGGGGGCAGAGTTGGCTCGAAATCGGCAGGCACAAGTTGCGAATGTCGAGTAACACGAGGTCCCCCACTTTGTAGGTGACATCACGTCGGTGGTGATCGGCTTGTCGGCTTGCAGGTTGGCGTTCCGAATGGCCTCGGTTGCTTTTTCTCGGGCGGCAAGGATGTCTTGCTGGGACTGGGGCACTGGGGTCTCGATATTGGGTAGTTTGGTTGACTCGTTCGGTCTGCTCGTCGGTCTGTGGGTGGTAGGCGGAGGAAAACTGTACTTTGGTGGTGAACTGGTCCCACATGTGGCGCCAAAAATTCTATGTGAATTTCGGGTCTCGGTCAGAAATGATGGCGGTGGGTAATCCGTGCAGTCGGATGACGTTGGCGATGAACAGTTGGACAGTATGCTCAGCTGTAACTTTCTGTTGGCAGACGATGAAGTGCGCCATTCTCGTGAGTCGGTTAACAACCATGAGGATGGCGTCGTTTCCGCTGGGACTGGCCAGTAGTCCTGTCACGTAGTCCATCCTGATGTATTGTCAGGGTTGCTTGAGCGGATCCAACGGCTGTAGTAGTCCGGGTGCTCGCTGATGGAATGATTTCATGATTTGGCAGGCGGTGCAGGAGGATACGTACTTGCGCATGTCAGCCATCTTGGACCAGAAATAATGGCACTGCATCGTCTTCATGGTTTTGTCGACTGTGAAGTGGCAGGAGGTTGGATTGTCGTTTGTCTCCTGGATAAGAAGGGTACGAAGTAAATCGTAGCCAGTAACCCTGAGGCGAGAAGTGTCTCGCTTAGTCTAGTAAGGGCCGGAAGCGGTCGTGTGCTGTTGGTGAATGGCTAAGCGGAAGAATGGGTCATTTTTGTAACCGTGGATAAATAGGCCTGTGAGGAGTGGGTTGGTCTGGGAAACTAGTATGGCGGCTGTATGGGCAGTGGGGCGGGTCAGGGCATTGGTGATGACTGTACATGGATGGTCAGGATCGGAGATGCGAAGGACGGGCGGACGTGAGGGCGATCTTCAGTTGGTCAAATGCAGCTTGCTGCTTCTCCCCCCACCAAAAACAATCGTGATCATTCAGTTGGTCGGTTCGCGGGGCGGATAACCCAGCCATATTGGGGATAAAGCGGCGGACGTAATTTACGAATAAAAAAAAACTCTACAGCTCCTTGACGTTTCACGGCTGCTTCCACTCCTGTATGGTCTGAATTTTCTTCGAGTCGATCTTTACGCCTTCGGTGGAGACGATGTGTCCCAAAAACTCCAACTCCTTCTTAAGAAATTCACACTTCGACCCCTTTATGATTAGCCGGTTCTTGTGCAGCAGCGTGAAGACTGCATCAAGATCTTGTACGTGCTGTTCAATGCTTCTGCTGTGGATCAAATTGTCGTCGAGGTAGATGATTACACACTTGTCTAAGAAATTCCTTGAAAATTCTATTCATGGTCATCTGGAATGTTGAAGGCGCGTTCGTGAGGCCAAAAGGCATCACCATGTACTCGTAGCTACCGTATCGTGTTTGGAACGCAGTCTTGTTATAAACTTCGGTGGCGACGCAAATTTGGTGGTAACCTCTTTGTTAAACGATCTTCGAGAAAAGCCTAGCTCCGCGAAGTTGGTCGAGAAGCTCGTTGGCACGCGGAATCGGGTAGCGGGATTTGATGGTGATCTGGTTGAGCGCGCGGTAGTCAATACACATTTTGAATCCTCCATCATTCTGCGTCAATACACATTTTGTGCTGGGCCGGATGAATCCCTTCTCCAGTAAGTAATCCAGCGGCTGGGGTAATTCCTCGAGTTCTGGTTGGCTGAGCCGAAACTGGCGCTATACAGCCGGTTGGGCGCCTGGTTCCATATCGATTCGGTGGTCCACAGGTCGGCTCGGCGAGAGTCCAGCTGGCAGATTGTCCGGAAAAATCTGCGAGTACTTTCGAATAAGGTCCGTCAAATCCGGAAGGAAGGCCTTGCACAGCTTTTCAGTGTCTTCGTTCTCGACCGTCGATGCCAGCTCACGAAGATCAATGGTGTACGCTTCAGCTCCAGCGTACAACGCCTTCTTGAAGGTGATTGCATGGACTTGGGTGCTTCGCATGTGAGGCCCTGTCCACTTGGGCAGCTCTCTGGATATTCCATCGAGCTTGATGCTGCAACCGTCCGTCGTCCAGTCGATCTTCGGATTGTACCATCGCAACCAAGCACGTCCCAGCAGCACGTCGCACCCGTCAAGAGTCTTCACTAGCAGCCCCATCCGAAATTTTACGTGCTCCCCACAGGCAAAGCTTACGTTCTCCACCCATTCCCGTATTGCCAGCGGCGTGCCATCTACCAGTCGGGCGTTAATCTCAGGTAAACAGCTTAGTAAGGGTATACCCAATTTCTTAGCATTGTCCAGCTGTATGAGGTTGTGACTCACGCCTCCATCAATGAAAACCTTTAGAAACACTCTGTTGACTTTACCCTTCACCAACACTGGGTGATCAGCAACTTCTTCCGCAATATAATTCTGAAGGGCTATGAATTCTTGGCAATTGCGTCGGATAGGATTCGGTCGGCCACAGTGGTAGCGTCGCCCCGTATTTCGTGGAGCAACTGCGTAAATATCCACTACGTCCACCCCTTCTATCGTGGCGCGCGGGTTCTGTTCTCGAGGGTGACCTCCGCCGAAGAAGTTCGTCCTCGGCTTCGTGATCAAATCAGTGGCTTCGGCGAGCTGGATGTAGTCTTGTAACCGCTTCGCAGGGTATTGCAGTTTTTTCTGGTATTGAACTTCAGGCTTGAGGCCGGCCATGTACCCGTCAACCTTCTCCAACTCGTCCATGAAGCCACATCTGTCCACCAACGTCAAGAATGACGCGGTATATTCGGACACAGATCCCAGCTGCTTCCACATGCGTAGAGTTTCGCGTGCCTTGTCTGAGTCAGGGGCGTGCTCAAACCACTTGCGAAGCTCTGCACACCACGTTGCCCACGTACGAATGTGGGTCGCTCTGAACAACAAGTCTGCCTCGTCCTCGTTGCCAAATTCTTCGGACCACTCGTACTATCCTTCTGTGCGAGTTCCACCACTATAAAGCGGCCCCTTGCAACAGTGTTAACACGTAGCTGGTCCGCTTCTAATCGTCTCTAATGCTCGCCGCGTTAAAATATATATATTCATGGCGAATATCCACTGCCGCACTGTCACGGTGGGTCGAAATGAGAGGGTTGCTGATATTTTACGCCGCCACTTGTCGAGCGCGGGGCTGTTGCCGCATGTCGTGCCAGCTCCACTGACGACGGTTGCTGCTCACCCGCCTCGTTTCGTGCATCGTCGCCCGGCTTCTCTGGACGTTTTTTACGCCTGGCAAAGTTCCGGGTTCTCGTCGCAGAGGTCCTTAACGACGCTTGTTAGGTTCTTCGGCTGCTCCATTAATGCTTGCGGGTCCACATTTTCCCAGGCAAGGTTCGCAGCAGTCGAGATGATCTATTCATCAACTGTCGAATCTACCTGGGCCATGGCGGTCAGGACGGGGCAAAAGCTAGCGCACACGCTGTAGTTGTTGGCGTAAGAACATTATGCTGTTTGGGATTAGAAATGAATGAATATTGGGAGAAAAGTATAGACCATAAATCTGTGTTCTTTAGAACATGATAAGAAAGATGCAGCGTGTGCGCTAGCTTCTGCCCCGTCTTGACCGCCAACAACATGGGCTTTAACCTGGGGTTAAACACAGAGTATGAACCTGGGCTTTAACCTGGGGTTAAACACAGAGTATGAACACAGGTTAAAGCCCAGGTCCCAAATCAGTCAGCTGCGCACCAAACTAGGCCCAGTTTTATATATTTTTTGCTCCAAAAAGGTGCCCCAACCTTGGCTTCGCCACAGAAGTGACGCAAAGTTGCTCTTGCTGAATCTATGGTTGAAATTATATTTGGTAAAATGGGACTCAATCAGGGCCTAATATTGGATTTGAGGCACCCTGAGTGCTCAAGCTCCCCCCCCCCCCCCCCCCCCCCCCCCCTGGGTTTAGCCTGATTTTTTAGGGCCTCCCCCTAGAATTTCGCCGACTTTTCAGGGTTCCCTTTAAAAAAAAAAATCGCTGACTAATCAGAGTAACCTTTTTTTTTTTTTTTTTTTTTTGCTGAGCCAAATCTTCCTATACAGTAATATATTCCATTTCACACTCTTGGCGCTGACCATCCGTTTTGTTTTTGGCGTGCTTCAGGTCAAAAAGCCCCAAGGCCCCAGTAGACACTAGCACCAAATTTGTGGAAGGGCCAATATGTGCCCTCCATCACACAACCCCCAGCAGCACGCAGTAGCGTTAAATTTGTTGCAGTGCCAGCGCTTGCCCTCACACAGTCCCCAGCACACACTACACTAGCCCGAAATTTGGTGAAGGGCAAAAAAATGCCCTCACATAGCACCAAGCAGACATCAATCAGGAGAAACGGACGGACATAACAGCAGGGCCCCTGAATTACGCTTACAAGTTTCAGGGTAGTCCCCCCATACTATGCCGAGGGGACAGGATCCACTTCAATAGTAACGCTGAGCGATCAGAGTTCACTCACAACAAAACCCTCAAATTTTAGGGTTTTGTTGTCGAGTAACCCGCTGGGGTTACCCACTGGGGTTTTTGACATGCTATTAGAGCCTTGGTGACCTGGGTTCAATTCCCAGTGCTAGCGCTGCAGAGGTGCTCGTGTCTTCCACCTATCCCAGTGAGGGGGGGTGTCGAGTGACCCCCTGGGGTTACCCTTGAGAAGATCCTCGGGGAAGGGCCACATGTGCAGAGCCTGGGGGGCTATGGGCGCACTGACCTGCTATTAATAAGCCCTTTTAATTCAATGGTTAGTGGCTGAGTTTCTGACATGGTATCAGAGCGTTGGTGACTTGGGTTCAATTCCCAGTGCTAGCGCTGCAGAGGCGCTTGTGTCTTCCACCTATCCCAGTGAGGGGGGGTGTCGAGTGACTTGCTGGGGTTACCCATGAGAAGATCCTCGGGGAAGGGCCATAGGTGCAGAGCTTGTGGGGCTATGGGCGCACTAACCCGCTATTAAAAAACCCTTTTAACTCAATGGTTATTGTCCAGGGCTTCAGATTGGATCTTGAGGGGCTATTGGCTTAGGGTGCCCCTAGAAGGAGCCCCCGTTTTTCAAGGTCAGGTTTTGGAAGTTGCAATTTTTTTCAGGGCTGATTCTTAGATCGGATCGGACTTCACTGCGTACAAATTGTCACACTACCAGCGTGATTTTGGCAAAGGACCAGTCACGCCTCTCACGCATGCTCCAATTCGCGTCAGACTGCCTGAGTGATTTTGGCGAAGGACCAATCACGCCCCTCACATCTGCTCCAACTCGCGTTACCTGCGTCATTTTGCCTAAGGTCCAGTCGCGCCCCTCACATCTGCTCCAGCTCGCGTCAAACTGACTACGTGATTTTGCCGAAAGACCAATCACGCCCCTCACATCTGCTCCAGCTTGCGTCACCTGCGTCATTTTGGCGAAGGACAAGTCACGCCCCTCACAGCTGCTCCAGCTCGCCTCGACCAGTCAGATCTGATTCCGTTTCAGCCTGATAATTCAGGGTGACTAAAACAAGAACATACAATATTTCAGGCCTGCTCAAATGAGAACTTCTACAATTCAGGCCTAGGAAAAATCAAAAGCTGAAAAAACAGGACGAAAAAAAAAAACACCCTGCTATACAGCATTTCAAGGAATTTTGTTCTGACTTCTGAAGCCCTGTTACTAGCTAAGTTTCTGACATTTGTCTCAAAACTTTTCTGTCTCATCAGGGTCACCCCCGAAAAAAGACATGATTTTATCATGAATCAGGGTAAAAAGCCCGCAATATGAGGCCCTGTTCTCAATGTGTCATTGAGTTTCAGTCGTCGATCGGCCTTTCCAGACCAGGCTCTCGAGATTCAGTGAAACTGGAATCCATTATTCATCTACGGCTGTAATTGTGCTTCCATCAAGTGTGCCTAGTTTAGGCTCCCCTGCTGCGTCAGGCGTATGACCCTTTGCTTTGTTTAGCCTTGGCTCCACCCTAGCTCCTCCGCTCCCAGCCACCACTGCCGCGCTCTCCTTCACTCTCGACTCTGCGCGTCTCGGTGTTTCTTTCGGGACCACACTACGCTTACGCAGCTTGCTGTCCCTGACGCCGTTACCCTTGCAGACCCTTCCTCAGGTCCAGTAGTCGCTCGTAGTTCCACCACTCTCCCCTGTCAAGCAGTTCCTTCGGGCTCTCTTACACGTCTGCACATCCCCTCGTTCTCTAGGAATCTAGTTGGTGTCGGTTGTCTTCAGGACCTCGGCGTTACCACTACGATCCCTGGTCACGAGAAGTACGCTGTCTGTACCGAGGCCGCCACTGGTGCCCCCCTCACCACGTTCCCCCAGGACCCGGTGTCTGGCCTGTTCACGCTGGACACCGCGTCCCCACAGGTTGGGACGCCCCCCCATATGGCAACGTCTACCCACGTTGTTGCGGCTTGCTCTTGTCGGTCGCTTACTTCCCCGTCGCTTCTGTGGCACCACCGCCTCGGTCACCCTAACCTCACACGTCTCCGTCACATGTCTCAGCACGGTCTTGTCTTAGGTCTCCCTGTATCGTTCCCTGCACTCCCCTCCTTGGTAGCGCCTCCGTGCACCCCCTATGTCGAGGGCCGGCTCCGCCATGCCCATCAGTCCTCCTCGTTCCCCCCCACCACTACACCGTTACAGACCCTGCACATGGACGTCTTGGGCCCCGCCCCCCTCCATGGGCCACGTCGTGAACGTTACTTCCTAATGCTTCTCGACAACTACAGTCGCTACACCACCGTGTATCCCCTAGAGCGGAAGGCTGACGTGCCCAATGTTCTTATCCCTGTGTTGCGTCTTCACTCTGACCGTGGTGGCGAGGTCGCCTCTGGCTGCCTTGGTCGCTTCTGTCGTGCGGAGGGCATCACCCAGACGTACACTCTGCCAGACTCCCCGCAGTAGAATGGGGTTGCTGAGCAATGCATCGGTTTGGTCATAGAGGTGGCTACCATTCGTCGACTCATCATATCTTTCACTCTCGCGATGTCACCTTTAACGAGTCTGTCTCCTACCACCGCTTTCCCCACCGTGGTCCCCCAGTCACTCCCCCCAAGAACCTGGTTCCCCCCCTCCCCCGGTCGCCCCTGCTCCTCCCCCTCCCCGCCCTTCCCCATATGGTGTGTCTCACATCACCCCCCTCCCGTCGGTTGTCCCTGGCGAGGGTTCTGCTGACTCTCGTGGCTCGGTGGAGTCCCTTCCCTCGCCTGTCCCCACTCCGGTCTCTCCTCCCCTGTCGCCGCCGTTGCTGTCACATCCGCAACCGCCTCCTCAGCTGCTGTCGTCGCAGCTGCCGTCGTCACCGCCGTTGGGGTTTGTGCGTTCTGGGGGTGCTGGGGAGCGTGCTGGAGCGGGTACTAGAGCCGGTACCCGTTCTGGGGGTGCTATCATGGGGCTTCACAAAGGGAGTCATGGTCCTGCTGGAGGCACCATGTCAGCAGTCGTCGCCGTCGTCGCCGGTGTCCGCTCTTTGCCTCCTCGGCCTTCCTTCTCCTTATCGCCTACCGGTGCCTCCTTGGTCGCCACCGCCTCCTCCTCTGCCGGTCTACTGCCCTGTGCTTCCTCGAGTGGACTCTTCTCCGGCTCGTTTCCCTCCTCATTCTACACCTGTGTCTCCTCTCCTCTCTCCTGAGCCGACTCCTCCGTCGCACGTCTGGTCTCATCGTCCGTCTCGTGCTCGTCCAACCTCCCCTGTTCCGCTTTCTCACCCTATGTTGCTTCGAGCTCACGCATCTCGTGCTCCTCGGCTCCTCCCGTCTCCTCCTCCGTCGTCTCTCGTTGTGGCCCCGCCTCTGTTTTCTGACTTCCTCCGTGCCGCGCGTCCCCTTGTTCCTCCTGTCCTTGCCTCCCTCGTTGCCGACCCGTCTGTTCCTGTCTCGAGCCTTGACGCTCTTATCGCTGTTGTCACTGACTTCGCCGCTACCCGCCGCCTTGACTACGCCACCGCCATGGTCTCTGACCCTGCCTGCCCTCCGTCCGTCAGGGGCGTGGCTGCCCTTGGCAGTGACGACCAAGAGGACAGACAATATGAGCTTGCTTTCCTGTCAGAGGCTGCTCCCCATCTCTGTTCCATGCTGCTAGTCCTTGAGGGTGACTCAGATGCCCTTGACATCCCGACCCCTCGCACCTACGCTGAGGCCACCTCGGGATCCTGGGCCTCTCAGTGGATAGCTGTCATGGTGCAGGAGATGGCATCTTGGAGATCCACCGGTACCTTTGTCTGCGCAGTTCCCCCACCTGGGGTTAACGTATAGTTGATGGCCGATGGCCCTTCAAGGTGAAGTGCCCTCCTGGAGAACCGCCTGTCTTCAAGGCGCGCTATGTTGCTCGTGGCTTTAGTAAGCGTGAGGGGGTTGACTTCTTTCAGACCTTCGTCCCGACCCCGAAGATGACTACTCTTCGAGCAATGCTACACGTAGCAGCACAGCGTGAATACGAGTTGCACTAACTTGACTTCTCCATTGCTTTCCTCCAGGGCAGTCTACACGAGCAGGTCTATCTGCGCCGCCCCCAAGGCTTCTCCAGTACCTTTCCTCCTGGTATCGAGTGGCTCCTCCAGCGCCGTGTCTACGGCCTGCGCCAAGCGCCCCGTGAGTGGCACGACACGCTGCGTGCTACACATGCTGATATGCAGTTCTTCCCGTCGTCTGCGGATCCCTTCGTTCTTCGTCCGTTCCGGCCAGGCTCTGTTCTACATCCTTGTTTCCGTAGACGATCTGGTCTTTGCTACTGCAGACAGAGACGTGCTGGCCTCTATGAAGGCCGAGCTGCTGAGGAGACACACCTGCACTGACCTAGGGGAGCTGCGCCGCTACCTTGGCTTGTAGATCACCAGGAACAGAGTAGCGTGCACCATCACTCTCACACAGTCAAACTTGGTGTGCCAGGTCCTTCAGAGGTTCGGCCTTCAGTTCTCTTCCGCTTAGCCCACCCCTCTGCCAGTAGACCATATACTCTCTTCTCCAGTTCCGGAGGAGGCTGTAGAGCCTAGTGGTCCTTACGCAGAGCTGGTGGGTTGCCTCATGTACCTGATGACTTGCACTTGTCCAGATCTCGCATACCCTCTCAGCATCCTGGCCCACGTTGTGGCCTCCGGCAGACACCGACCACAGCTCTGGTCTGCAGCTAAGAGGGTTTTGTGTTATCTAGCAAGTACTGCAGGCATGGGGCTAGTGCTAGGAGGACGCAGACCAGTGGTCCTTACAGACGCTTCTTGGACAGACGACGCCGAGACTCTCAGGTCCTCCCAAGGCTACTGCTTTGGCCTTGGTGCAGGCGCTGTCTCGTGGAGGTCCACCCGCTCGTCGTCTGTTGCCCAGTCTAGCTGTGAGGCTGAGATATAGGCCGGTGCCATGGCGGTGCAGGAGCTCCGTTGGCTGACTTTCTTGCCTACAGATGTAGGTGAGCAGCCTAGCTAACAACAGGGCCATGATCCTCCTGTGCCATGAGCCCAGACTAGAGGGCAAGGCGAAGCACATCCAGCTGCAGTACTTCCTCTTGCGCGAGCTACAGCAGCGTCGCCAGGCCCGCGTAGTACACTTGGCCTCCGGTGCCAACATAGCTGATATATTTACGAAGGCGCTTGCGCTTAAAGATGATCAGCGGCACTGCGTACAGCTTGGACTCAATCCTATAGCACCTCATTTGCTAGGACATTGATGGTGTATGACTCTTTATATGTTATCCTGACTGGCCTTATGGCTTTCTCCCAGTGGCTGGACTAGTAATGCGGCCCTGGTCTTGTTCTTGCCTTGTTTGTACTCTTTTGAGTGGTCTTTATACCCCTGCCTCAGAGGTTGGACTAGTAGTGCCGCCCTGAGCTGTGTGCTTCTTGCTCAGCACTACCCTTTATGCATACAGTTGCATGTATAAGTTATAGGATAGAATAGGTGTGTGTTCTTAGATAGTACAACCCACTAGCTATATACCCCTTTATACTCTCATTCTATTCAACACTTCTAACTCTGAGACTTTATGTGTCCCAGCAGGGCCCAGTTTCCTTACGAAAACTCTCGCGAAATAAACAAAGTTGCAAGCTTCTGCACCCAATCATTTCATTTGTTTTTGTTGAAAGTACATCAAAAGACTTAAGCGTTTCTGAAGTGTAACACTACACTCGAGGAAGATTGCAAGGGGTACGCGAGTCAACGGAGGTTACACGAGGGGGCGGACAAAGAACACGAAGGGTTTGGGACTCAAAGGGTCGCAATTGGAGGTTGCGACTGACCGTTACAACAGCACGGATGGTAACCGAAGCGACAATCGAGTCGCTGTACGACTCGATAAACCGCTACTGCAACTGTACTCTACAACTGTTTCTTATCTTCTATATATTGCTGTATGTTTGCCTTTTTATTATCACTTGTTCTCACATACTAGTACAAGGGTTCAACTGCCTCAACTTCCGCTGCACTACCCCAAGTCTTTACAGTTGGGACTTAGTCTCTGGAAAGATCCCAAGGGCTTTCTCAGCCCAACAGTTTTCGCCACCTGCCAAGCTCACCTCGCGTTGACTTTGAGTAAGTAATTTGGGACATGGGCTTTAAACAAATAAACACTCAAATAGCACATGGTTATGCATATTTCCCTCCACACCATACGAAAAGCAAAATTTCTGCATAGTTCATAGTATTTTGAGGCGAAGTTGGTTCATTCAACACCGAACATGATTTTCCACACTCTACAGCCCATCAAACACTTGTGTATGCATCTGGTTATTTTCATTTTGTTTTGAATAGAAAACGGAATGGGAGTTACATTGAAGAATGCCTTCATTTTGCTTCGCGTTTGCGACAGTTTTTCGAGCGAGAGCCGCTACCGTCGCCAGAATCGCTGAGCACGAACAATTCACCAGTTTGAAGGTCAGCACACCGGCAGTGACCTAGTAACAAGGCTCGTTGAGCATGTGGCAGGGAATGACTTTGGGGTGGATCACAACTTTAGGCATTTCGAGTGGTTCTCTGACGTGGCAATGCCTAATTGCTCCTCCAGATAGCCTACGGCTCCCTTCCTGATAGCGATGTTGTGCGCAAGTTCTTTACCTGCCCGGGTGGAAAGTTCCGTCACGTAGCTGTCGTTTTGGCCAATAGGCAATCTCCGAAGTAGATTGATGGAGCGAAACGGGCAGAAGAGGGAAAACATCGGGAAAATCGTTCTGGGGGGGTCATATTGTCCCAAGCTCTCAGAATTCGGTAAGCTCCGAGCATCCCTGTGAACGCATCTGCCCACCTGCTCCTTGCTTCACCCTTCGTTTTCACCCAAACTCAAACCGTAGCCATGGCTGCCACCGGCCGGCTCTCTCCAGCACCTTCTCCGGCGTCGCTCTTCCTACCCTCCCCGCCAGGAAGACCGTCTCCGTGTCCCGGAGCCTGAAGGTGTCCGCCAGCGGCGGCAAGAAGATCAAGACCAACACCCCCCTGGGTTAGTAGTTGTCTTCCATCAGTTCCTGGTAGCCTTGACAGCTGCGGGATTTTGGAATGTTAAGAACGTTTCCGACAAGCTCTCCGCGTATTTCCTGACAGTCGCTCCGTCGTCCATGCCCGGGCAACCGCGTCCTGATAATCGCACTGGTAATTCATGCATGCAGGCCCCAGCGGTGACTACAAGTTCAAGGTGGACCCCTCCGGCTCCCCCTCCAAGGGCAAGGGTGCCTACTCCTTCGCCAAGAAGTACGGCGCTAACGTCGACGGCTACAGCCCCATCTGGACCCCGTCGGAGTGGTCCGCCAAGGGTGACACCTACGAGGGTGGTAAGTAATTTACGTGCCGTGTGCTTGCTTTACTTTTGCTGCCCCTCAGGCTTTTCTTCCCTTGTTCCGCTGTCTAACATCTGGAGTGTTGACGTTGCAGGCAAGGCCGGTCTTCTCCTGTGGTTCCTCACCTTCGGCGGCCTTCTCGCCATCGGTGCTCTCCTCATCGTCAACACGAGCGCCATTGCCTAAATATTTTGCGTAACTTCTGTGTATAGGCAAGGTACTTGTAACGGGATGCATTCACGATTTTCTTTAAACTAAAAAAAAACATTAACCCTTTGAACCAGGCTGGTATGCGTGAACCAATTAACAACCCGCGTGCCTAGTAAAATTGACCCTGTAACCAGCCCTTTCGCAAAATTTTAGTACTGCCTGTCGCTAGTTAAGGGCGTGTCAAATATGGTACGCTGCACTTTGGAGGATCGTAACCGCCTGATAAAGTGCCCAAAAATGCCACGCTCGACCCTCAGCCGTAGTCAGGGAACACACGCGGACATTTCAAAGTCCTGCGAACAGAAAAACCCCGAAACTCCAGCAGGTGGTCCACATCCAGGGCTAGAGCAAGCGAAATAATGTCGACGGAAAAATCAATGTCACGAAACTTCGCATGTCGCCAAGCAAATGCTCCCCCAAGGGTGGAAAGCCTACTGGACACGGCTTCGCTAGGTGGTACTCCGTTACCCCGCCATCCTGCCCTCCCCCAAAGTGCCCCCTTATTGTGGACCCGTTTCTAGACCAGGTACGTTTGCGAAATCAATTCGCATTTCGCGACGTTCGACGTCTCGGCCATGTCCAAAACGGCAAAACGATTTTTGGGGACACGCCCTAAGGCAATGGCTGACAGATGACTTCCTCCGCGCCTTTCGCTCAGACCAATGGCACACCACCCCAGCAAGGCACTGGATCCCCTGCGCAGCTAGCTATCTGGGGTTACCAACATGATTTCGAAATTCGCAAGCTATGGACTGGTCCGCAGCTGCAGTTCCTCCTTCGCTTCCCGTCCCCTGCACACTCCCCTCCCCTCTCTCTTTTGCAGCCCCTCGGACCCGAGCCACATCTCTGACCATCCCGTAGCTGCATCGCGATGCGACCTGATCTTCCAAATACGGCGCGCCACATTTGGGAGTGGGTTGCTTATAAACCCAGCCAACCGCTCTAGCCCAACATCGGCTCACAACAAACCAGCATCGGCAATTCCAAACCACACTTGCATCCACTTCAGACAATCCACGTAGCCATTGTCTGGGCCTTTTGTTAGGACAACTACTGCAAACAACTGCTAAGAGAAGGGTACCGGCGATTAATACCCAGACGTGATTAGTTGAGTCCCACCATGAGAAACGGCGGCCCCACAATCGCGTTGCTGCTGATCTTCGGCGCGTTTCTGCTAGCAGCGCAGCCATCCAGAGGCGCACCACGCCAGTGGTGGCGTAACGGTGCCGAGTCCCAGCCTTTTGCGGCGCCCGCCAGAGGCAACGCGGGCAAATTCCAGGCGCCAGACACCGCCGGTTCTGCCGTGTACATCGTGCGCCTGAGCACGGCGCCCCCCCTCTCCGAATACCGCGGCGGAATTGCGGGGTACCCCGCCACTGCCACGTGGGACGACGGCAGCGACGAGGAGGAGAACGACGACGACCGCGTGCCGGAGATGCTTCTCGCGGCCGAAGATTCCGGCGCAGCAGGCGGCGAATCCGAGTCAGAGCCCGAGTCCGTCGACTTGGACGACACCAACGCCGATCAGCACTTCCCCAACGCAACTGCGCCAGCGCCAGCAGATGCGGCGCCTGAAACCAGTTCGACTTCCAGCGCACGCGGTGGTCGTGGGAATGGTGGTGGTAGCAGCAGCGGCAGCGGCGGGTGCGCGCGGCACAGGCTGCATCTGAGCATGGACCGCCCCCAGGTGGCAGCGTTCGCGTCGCTGCTGCAGCGGCAGCAGGCGCAGGTGGCATCTGAGGCGGGCGTGGGCGACGGCGACCTGCTGTACAGCTTCAAGCACACGTCCAACGGCTTCGCCGCGCGCCTCACCCCGCGCCAGGCGTGGCGCCTGCAGCGCCATCCCGCCGTGGCGTCCGTGCGCCGCAGCCGCGTGTTCCAGCGGCGGACCAGCGACTCGCCCAAGTTCCTGGGGCTCCCCGGAAAGGTGTGGCCCGCCGTGGGCGGATAGAGCAAGGCGGGCGACGGCACGGTGGTGGGGATCATCGACACGGGCATCTGGCCCGAACACCCCTCGTTCTCCGACAAGGGGTTTAGTTCGAACTTCCCCTCTGGGTGGAAGGGTAAATGCGAGCAGTCCAACTCGTTCCGATGCAACAACAAGGTGATCGGCGCCAAGGCGTTCTACACCGGGTTTCAGCGGGCCAGCGGCAAGCCCGCGCTGGCGAACGACTGGCTCACGCCACGAGACGCGGACGGGCATGGCACGTGGTGCGCGGGCGCGGCGGCGGGGAGCCCGGTGGGGCTGCAGGGCGGCGGGCAGGTGAGCGGCATGGCGCCGGCTGCGCGGATCGCGGCGTACAAGGTGTTCTGGACGGACCGCAGCAGCGGGGAAATGTATGCGGACGAGTCAGACATCATCGCAGCCGTCAATCAGGGCGTGGCGGACGGCGTGGATGTGCTGTCGCTGTCCCTGGGGGCATGGATCCCAACGACAACTATTTCAACGACCTGGCTTTTATGCGGGCCAACGCTGCCGGGGTGTTCATTGCCTTTGCTGCTGGTAATGCTGGCGCTCCGGGCCAGTCACAGGGGGGTGGTTACCGCACGGTGGACAACTTCGCACCCTTCTTTCTGACTGTGGGCGCCAGCACCATCGCACGGGGAGCGTCCCTAGCTTCGGCAGCAGCAGCAGCCGGCACTCAGTCGCTCCCCCTCAATGCCATTGCCGGCGCCGCCAGCACCAACAGCACTGTCAACTGCAACGGCACTGGCAGCGGCAACAGCACAGGCAACGGCACCATGCCAGGTGATGGCAGCGGCACCACTTTCACTGCCGACGGAGGTATCACCTTCGCCACCTCCTCCTCCTCCGCCCCGGTGGTTGCTGA